GCAATCATTTCTCTTTCTCTCTGTCTGCATTCTTGCAGTCATTGAGAAATACTGAGTGAGCTGTGATTGTCACAGCTTGTCACATGGTAAAGGCTGTTGTGAATAGCCTTGTACCATTGACCTCTGTGATCATTACTTTCACACGTAATAAGCAATGATGAGTGACATCTTGCTCACTACTTTGCATGTGATCACTGATTCGCCAATCAGTGATCACATGACCGGGAGCTCGTACAGAGGTCCCGTCCGACGATCGGTGTTTCACTGTGTCCGGAGGACACAGCGGACACCGGATCGCGGTGGTGCGCGCTCCTAGGGAGCGCGCACAGCTAGAAAAGGCGGGTGCCGTTTAGGAACGGCAACCCGACCTTGGACTGCCACCGCCCTGCAATTAAATAAACAGCAGGCGGACGGCAAGAGGTTAAAGGATATTATGAAGAAGGGGGAAATATGTTCTTTCCCAGAATTGAAACATAAAAAGGAATTATTTTGTGTATTAGATGAGTGGCGATTTTATTAATTAAGACACTTTGTAGTGGCACTTCCACAACCAGTAAGAGCAGTAGATCTGTATCTACTTGACTTGATCCACTTAACAGATGTTGAGTTCAGAAACATGGTATTTCTTGTATTTATAAGATACTTACTAAAATATCTGGACCTATCTCTCCACCGTTTTTGGAGAAATGGAAAAAGGAATTTGGAATTCAATTAAATGTACAGCAAAAAAGGAAAATATTTAATTTAGCACATGGAGAGGTGGATATAAAGGTGGTGGAAATGAATTATGTTTGGCAAGATGGTGTGGGTAGCACAGTGGCTAAATTCTGGCGCACACCAAAAAAGGGGTCCTGCACCTTTTTGGTGCAGATGCGGTGTGATTTGAGCCATGCAAAAGGTATCAATTCATTCCCCCCCCCCCCCCCCCAGTTATTACCTTTTGTACGACCAGCCCCTCCATCTTAGATTGTAAGCTCCAAGGAGCAGAGCCCTCCTATCCCTCTTGTATTGAACTGTATTGTTGCTGTATTGTCTCCCTTTATATTGTAAAGTGCTGATCAAACGGTTGGCGCTATATAAATCCTGTATAATAATAAATTGTACAGAATTTGCATGTCATTTGCACAGGAATGCGGTGCGGCTCTTGTGCGAATCACATGCGATATGCTGAACCGCACAAGTGTGAACCCAGGCTAAACCTTTCTGTTGCAAAATATTCAAATGATTCCATCATTACCGGAAGAAGTTTGAACTGTCCCCTCATTACTGGAAGTAGAGGCCACCACACGTCAGTACGTCTAGTTACAAACAGCACACACTCCCCTTTCCATTCCTCACACCCAGCACAGCTTTCACTTTCAGTCTGCACCAGCCTAAGCCACCGAACAAGCCTCACTATTTCATAGCAAGATCAGAAAAAAACTATCGCTCTCTGGTAGATCGGAAACGAAACTATCAGAACACTCCGCTAATCTATAAACTAGTCTTCCCTCAATAAAGATGGCGCGCGCACACCGACGATCATGCAACCAGCAGAGTTCGGAACCAGCCTTTTCGTAAGCAGTCAGGTGACCTCCTGATACGGAAGCGCGGCTGTCTGTGCTGAGAAGTGTGATAGAGCGGAGTGACGGAGAGCGGGCACACAGGTATGGGGGTGGGGGGCTGTCCGCCGGCCTGGTACAGGCAGCTTCCTCTGTGTGTTCCGTTATCACTACCCCTCGGGCACCCATTCTAAGTGTACCGGCTGTGATGTATGACGGAGCACAGAGCAGTGTGTGGCCTGGGAGCTGTCAGGGGGGGATCAGCAGCCTTGTTTTCATAGAGCTCCCTGTCTGTGTCATGAGGAGGAAGTAAGGTTAGAGTTGCCACCTCATCGCTGTAAAAGCGAACACATTAATTACACAGGTTCTGTGGATGATTTGTTGCAGATAAGGCACTAAGTTTAATTACCACTTAATCAGCCCCAGAACCTGTGTAATATTTGTTCGGGTTTAAATGGATGAGGTGGCACCCTAAGTAAGGGAATGTCCTGTTTAGAATTGCAAGTGGAGTTAAAGCACTCAATTAAAGGACATGTTCCCTTTTTGAACAAAAATAATAAATTCACATTTTTTTTTTCAGGTAAAAAAATGTACATTTATTATTTCACCCAAAGGAGCCTGGAAAACATTGCACCAGCAGTCAGTAGATCGGTGATGCCATACAGGTCTCCTGCAGACCTGTCAGATTTTCTGCTTGCTGTACGGGATGTACGGTCAAGCAGATATTCTGACAGGAAGATTCATTTAACTACCACAGCGCCATGGTAGTTCATTGAAAACTACAAGCCTACAGCCGCTAAGGCTGTCAGGACTTGTAGGTGCTCATTCACAAAACACTGAATGAGTGACGGCGCCGTGTGGGTGGAGCCCCGCACGGCCCTGCTGCTTTCAAATCTGACAGTACGGGGAGAAGTTTCCCTGTACTATCTGTCTGAGGGAGGGGGGCGCTGCTATGGGAACATCTTACATGTTCCACCCTAAAAACGAGTGGAACATTTAACATGGTCCAAAGGCGATCTTAGCCTTTAAAATATTGGTAATAAACACAGATTAAAGTATAACTAAAGGCAAAACGTTTTTAGTTTAGGATAGAATGGAGAGGGATGACAACCCCTGTCAGGTTTTTATTGTTACAGCGCTAAAATAAAATCAATATAATGCAATCAATAATGAAATTATCAAAAAAAAAATCATGGTGCTATATAAAGTGCAGATAATGCCAATGTCAGTGATGAATCAATCAGCACAGGTAAATCAATAAAGTGACAACAGTGCAACTGCACATTACTAAACACAGGTAGGTAAATAAAGTGACAACAGTGCAAGTGCACATCCAAAAAAGTAAAAGTGACAAAGTCTGTATATCACTGTATAAATAAATAAACGTGAAGTTTCAGAAAGAGTGATCCTCGGTGTATCTTCTGGTGATGAAATAATAGAATTACACACTCACCAGATGCATAATTCCATCACGCATTTGAGAATAATTGTATACAATTATATACATGGTTTTGTGCCATGTGATCCAGTGCAGGCAAACGCACTGCATTTGTGTATTGTTAATTTTATATTGACACCTGCAGTAGATCACCAAGGCAGTGCGATTTGAATGTGGTGCAGGAAACATGTACAGATCAGTGTTTCCCACACTGCATTAGTGTGATCCTTGGCTTAGTGCATCTCCAACAGCAAGATAGGAAAAAAACAACACTCCTTTTATTTACATGCTTAGGAGATGTCTTCAAGCTGTATGTGGTGTTATGGAACTGTACAACTGTTATGGACAGCATCAGCAACACTGTATTCTGGCATTATAAATTTTAGATGGAACTGATTATGATTATTATTTTTTTTTTACTGTTCCATTATTGTTGGCATTAAACACAGCAGCACCCCAGTCATAATTCATTTCAAAATCACCTCAAGCAAAATGAAATTTTGAAATAAAAGAAAAAGCCTTTTTGCTGCAACATTTAATTTTGTATCCAGCAGGCTCAAATTGAAGTAGCAGCCACAACAGATCTAAATGCTATAGGAGAGTTTACTCTTAAAGCGGTAGTCAATTCTTGTTGAAAAAAAAAAGTTTCTTCCTGCACGGCAGTATCATGAAAGACTTCCCTTGAAACAAAGCCCTCCAGCGGTGCTCTGTCACTGCTGCAGAGGCTTCCAACTTCACCCGGTCCTCCTTCCGGGTTCGTGGGCTCCGGTCCTTTGGCCGAGTCGCAATGACATCATTCTCGTCAGTGATGTCATGACATCAGTCTCAGCCATGGCACACAGCTCTGAAGGAACAGCACAGATATGCTGTTCCTTCAGAGCACATGCGCCTGTGATGTCACTGGCTGCTTCTCACTAGAATATCTCCTAAACGGTGGGCGCTCCAGAATAGGTAATTACAGGGTTGGATAGAATAGCCATAGAATGGAGGTGGGAGTAGATTTTGCCTGAACTTCCACTTTAAGGCTCAGTCACACCACATCAGTTGAGCTGCATTGATCTGCACAGATCAATGCAAGCTCCATGACAGAGCACATGGCAAACAATTGTTTGCTGTTTTCCTAATTCACATTCACACTATAGCACTGCTTTGAGGTGGGTTGCCATGTGTAAAATTTCATACATGCTGCATTTTGCGCACCTCACCTTACTGCTTCTCAGCGCAGTTTGGCTGTGAAGCATAGAATTGAATGAAATTTAATTTTGTAACATTTCAATAAAGGTAAAGAAGAAAAAAGTACACAGTACTTTGTGTTGTAACAACACAAGGCACCATCCCTACCCAACAGACACCAGCCCACATGCTAAATAGCCCCCTTCAGCTGCTGGTCTGGTGTGGAAGAGCCCATAAAACACAATACTAAAGCCCTCAACTGTTTACCAATTGACCAGTGGCAAAACAGTTTTATGATGGCATGTGATGTTCCATTTTTCTTAGTACCTACACTGTATTCTCTGAATGTTTAATAAAAACCCTCCTCATCACATTTTGGCAGTAAGCAATTGTCTCTGCCTGCCTGTTGGCACCACCTTCTATGTTCCTGGCACTCTCTTCAGCATTCAATAACAAGAATTCTTGCACATCCTCCTGCATCAACTTACTGATTTTGTGCTGAAATAATTGCGCTGATTCCTGCATGCTAGTCTGTAGGGCAATGGCGGGATTAGTTGTAAAGGAGGAGGAAAAAATGGCACATTTGTAACTGCTGTGGAAAATCTGCTGCTCTGTGCTTCGTGGGGAGATGCTTAGTCAATCTACAAACTCCTCTGTATGCTCTGGCCTAATAGCATGCCCATTGTTAGGAAGACAAACTACCTGGATACGCCAGGTCAACAGACTGCAGCAGGTTTCCTGCAGCTTGGAAACACTAAATATACTAGATACAATGTCATTGTCCAATTGTAACTAATTATAATGTTAATCTATTCTCAGGAAAATAGAGGTCTTAAAGACCAAGCAAGATGCAGAGCACTGCAAATTATCTTTGGCTGCTCTCCGACATTCTGGGACAAGGAGCAACTGCCAATGTGTTTCGTGGACGCAATAAGGTAAATTATATTGCTAGAATTGCCACCTACAATGAATGTGCTTGCTGCACACCCCAATCCTTCTTTCATATGTCATTGTGTACTTTAGGTGTACAGGAAGTAATATGGTACGTAAGTAAAAATGTGCCGCCTTCTTTTTTCTAGTGAGAGGTTACAGAAAGAAGAGATTTTTTTTTTTAACCTTCCTCTATCACATCCCACCAGTGTTTTAGTGTCTCATGGGAAATTAAATGGTGAGGAATGTTATTTTTTTTTAAAGGTAGAAGCACTAGTACAGGAGGACCGCCACAAGATTTGTAGTGGCTTCTCTTCTTGCCAAAGCTATAATCATGTTAGCCAGATGGCATACACCGGAGGAGGCTGATAGGTGGACCTGTTGCTCACAGGAAAAACTAAATTGCTGGCCACAGAGAAACATACAGTGCCTTGAAAAAGTACTCCTACCCCTTGACATTTTCCACATTTTATAAAATAACATTCAGTACTGAGATGGACATTTGAGGTCATTACCTTTCATGCTAGCTGCTCTATCTATACAGATCTAGCGCTCGTTTTTCAATTATATGTTTCATTTTCCACAATTTGTCATGTTACAACCAAAAACATAAATGTTTTTTATTGGGATTTTATGTGATAGACCAACACAAAGTGGCAGATAATTGTGAAGTGGAAGGAAAATGATAAATGGTTTTCAAAATGTTTTACAAATAAATATCATGCGTGCATTTGTATTCAGCCCCCCACCCCCAAGTCAATACTTTGTAGAACCACCTTTCACTGCAATTAGAGCTGCAAGTCTTTTTGGGGATGTCTCTACTAGCTTTGCACATCTAGAGCATGACATTTTTGCCCATTCTTCTTTGCAAAATAGCTCAAGCTCTGTCAGATTGGATGGAGAGCATCTGTGAACAGCAATTTTCAAGTCTTGCCACAGATTCCCAGTTGGATTTAGGTCTGGACTTTGACTGGGCCATTCTAACACATGACTATGCTTTGATCTAAACCATTCCATTGTAGCTCTGGTTGTATGTTTAGGGTCATTGTCCTGCTGGAAGGTGAACCACCACCCCAGTCTCAACTCTGAACAGCTTCCCTGTCCCTGCAAGTGCAAAGCATCCCCACAACATGATGCTGCCACCACCATGTTTCATGGTGGGGATGGCGTGTTCAGGTTGATGTGCAGTGTTAGTTTTTTGCCACACATAGCGCTTTGCTTTTAGGCCAAAAAGTTAAATTTTGGTCTCATTTGACCAGAGCACCTTCTTCCACATGTTTGCTGTGTCCCTCACATGGCTTCTCGCAAACTGCAAACAGGACTTCTTATGGCTTTCTTTCAGCAATTACTTTCTTCTTGCCACTCTTCCATAAAGGCCATATTTGTGGAGTGCACGACTAATAGTTGTCCTGTGGACAGATTCTCCCGCCTGAGCTGTGGATCACTGCAGTTCCCCCAGAGTTACCATGAGCCACTTGGCTGCTTCTCTGATTATTATTATTATTATAATACAAGATTTATATAGCGCCAACAGTTTGCTCAGCGCTTTACAATGTAATGGAAGACAATACAGCAACAATACAGTTCAATACAAGAGGGTTAGGAGGGCCCTGCTGTTTAATGCTCTCCTTGCCCAGCTTGTCCATTTAGGTGTCTTGGTAGGTTTGCAGTTGTGCCATACGCTTTCCATTTTCAGATGATGGATTGAACAGTGCTTCATGAGATGTTCAAAGCTTGGGATATTTTTTTATAACCTAACCCTGCTTTAAACTACTTCTCCACAGCTTTATCCCTGACGTGCCTGGCCTGTTCCTTGGACTTTATCAGGGGCAGACAACCTTAAAGAGATGGAGAACTACCTGAACAACATACAGTGGATATAAAAAAGTATACGCACACCTGTTAGAATGTCAGGTTTCTGTGATGTAAAAAAAAATGAGACAAAGATAAATAATTTCAGAACTTTTTTCCCCTTTAATGTAACCTATAAACTGTTGAACAACAAACTGAAATCTTTTAGGTGGAGGGAAGTAACAATAAAAAACTAAAATAATATGGTTGCATACGTGTGCACACCCTTAAACTAATACTTTGTTGAAGCAGCTTTTGATTTTATGACAACACTCAGTCTTTTTGGGGATGAGTCTATCAGCATGGCACATCTTGACTTGGCAATATTTGCCCACTCTTCCCTACAAAAACACTCTAAATCTGTCAGATTGCGAGGGCATCTCCTGTGCACAGCCCTCTTCAGATCACCCCACAGATTTTCAATTGGATTCAGGTCTGGTCTCTGGCTGGGCCATTCCAGAACTTGAATCTTCTTCTTCAACAAAGGAAGCCATTCCTTTGTTGATTTGGATGTATGCTTTGGGTCGTTATCATGCTGAAAGATGAGGTTCCGCTTCATGTTCAGCTTTCTAGCAGAAGCCTGAAGGTTTTGTGCCAATATTGACTGGTATTTGGAACTGTTCATAATTCCCTCAGCCTTTACAAAGGACCCAGTTCCAGCTGAAGAAAAACGGCCCCAAAGCATGATGCTGCCACCACCATGCTTCACTGTGGGTATGGTGTTCTTTTGGTGATGTGCAGTGTTTTTGTGCCAAACGTTTCTTTTGGCATTATGGCCAAAAAGTTCAACCTTGTTTTCATCAGACCAGAACACATTTTCCCACATGCTTTTGGGAGATGTCAGATGTGTTTTTGCAAAATTTAGCTTGGCTTGGATGTTTCTTTGTAAGAAAAGGCTTCCGTCCTGCCATTCTACCCCATAGCCCAGACATATGAAGAACAGGAGATTGTCACATGTACCACACAGCCAGTACTTGCCAGATATTATTGAAGCTCCTTTAATGTTGCTGTAGGTCTCTTGACAGCCTCCCAGACCAGCTTTCTTCTCGTCTTTTCATCAATTTTGGAAGGACGTCCAGTTTTTGGTAATGTCACGGTTGCTCCATATTTTCTCCACTTGATGATGACTGTCTCCACTGTGTTCCATGGTATATCTAATGCCTCTGCGGACTATGGCTGTAGGATGCGACTAAGAAAATGTCAGGAAAGACCTACTAGAATAGCGGAACTTTATTTTGGGGTTAATCAGAGGCACTTTAAATGATGGCAGGTGTGTACTGGCTAATATTTAACATGATTTTGAATGTGATTGCTTAATTCTGAACACAGCTACATCCCCAGTTATAAGACGGTGTGCACACTTATGCAACCACATTATTTTAGTTCTTTGTTTTTTTATGTTTACCCCCCTTAAAAGATTTCAGTTTGTTTTTTCAATTGAGTTGCAAAGGTGGAAAAAGTTCTGAAATGATTTATCTTTGTCTCATTTTTTTACATCACAGAAAGCTGACATTTTTAACAGGGGTGTGTAGACTTTTTATATCCACTATTTAGCCCCCTATACTATTATACCCAGCCTATTGCTTCACACTTGGGTGAAGATCTATTTTTTTTCCTGCTGCTGGCACCACTCTGGAGACTGCTAGCTGGGATAAGAGGTGGAGTGCAGTTTGTATCACTCCGCATTGGGACAGGAGCCATCAATACAGAGGAGGCATCGGCATATGCGGCTCTTGCTCCCTACTACAGCTCCAACTTTACAAGTAATCTCTCTGCATTGAACTCTGATGCTCTGGGATGGCGGGTCAGAAAGCCCAGACCGCCATCTACCATCTCTTGGCCACGATCTACTGGTAGATCACAATTTACTGGTTGCTGACTCCCGGCCTTCATGATGCTGGTTGTTCACTAATGTTCTCTAACAAACCTCTGAGGGCTTCACAGATCAGCTGTATTTATACTGAGATTAAATTATACACAGGTGGACTCTATTTATTAATTAGGTGATATCTGAAGGCAATTGGTTCCACTAGATTTTAGTTAAGGGTATCAGAGTCAAGGGGGCTGAATACAAATGCACACCACACTTTTCAGTATTTATTTGTAAAAATGTTTTTATCATTTTTCTTCCACTTCACAATTGTGTGCCACTTTGTGTTGATCTATCACATGAAATCCCAATAAAATACATTTGTTTTTTGGTTGTAACATGACAAAATGTGGAACATTTCAAGGGGTATGAATACTTTTTCAAGGCACTGTAAGAAAGCTGCAAAAGGCTAAACCATTATGGTCTGGTGACCAGCAACTGCACAGCTTCATACCAGTGTGCATTGTATTAGTTCTAGCTCTGTGTGTCTCTGTAACACGTAAGTTTAAAAGCGTGGCCTCTGCATATTAGTTTGATGTAACCATGTAGTATTATGTACTTATATGCCTGTGACTACATGTAAGGCCAATAAATAACAGAGCAACCTGACATCTCAAAATGCATAAAAATACTTACAACAAACATGGAGAGCACACGCCTGATAATTTTGTTTAAGCTCAGTTAAAGCTTCTAGAAGTATAATAATCTTGTCCTGAACACCTGTAGAAAGGGGAAAAAAAGCAACTTTCATTGCAGTATATTCTCCCAGGTACTGTCCCTTGCAGGCATTTGCTTTTGCCCAAAAGCTTCAATCACAGGTTGAAGGATGCCTTGCATTATCCAAATCCTACCTGTGAACCAGCCTGTCAGTGACTTACATCATGGGCTAGTGTCATCATGCAGCCTGGGCTCACAATAAAGTGCTATTGAAAAATGCTTTACTGTGTGAGCAAAGTTCTATGATGCAATGCTAATGCTGGAGAAGAAAAATAGGACCCTTTTACTCATGTGGCCAACTGAAATGCTCCTGGAATTAAGGAATATTTGCTGAAAATGGAAGCTGAAGATTGGCTTTAATTAACAGTGGTGATCTTTGTTAGAGGGCTATATAGTCTTCGTATAATGAACAATGGCTGAGTGGTCCTCTAATAATCATGCAAAAGAAGAATTTGCTAAGGCTGGTGTAGGAAGCCCTTCTTTGTGGCCCTTTGTCCAAGGTGGTGCAGATTGTCCAAACCTTTCACATGAATTATGGCTGAAAATCCAGACAGATTTACTGAAGTCCCATATTCAAAAATAGAAACCACCGATGTTTCAAGGGAACACTGGCGTTATTGTCTGTTTGTCATCTTGAAAAAGAGGGCTGCTATGCCCCACAAAACTTTTGTGGTTTCTTATCCTAATCTTTGACTTCAGTAAACCTTCTTTTCCTGGATGCTCAGCTTGACATGCTGGCTCTTCTTATGTTTGGATGGCACCACCATTCAGCTGTGCACCCACCCTTACTCAGGGGTCCTCAAGAAGACTATGCAGTAGTATGATGACTTTTCACAGAACAAACCTGATATAGCTACTTAGGGCTCATGCTCATGACTGATTAAGGCCTTATACCATCAAAATCAGGTATGGCCATGTTTCTGATCAGCCCTAAACAGTAAGCCTGTACAATCAATGGCAGGCTGACACTGTCTGCACCTGTTTTAAAACTGTAAGGGTGGATGTACGCCCCTGGACAAAAACTTACAGGGTCACCCATACATCCCTAACCACGGTTAATTGCTTTTTGTATACTTGAATGCTTTAATGACTATGCTCTTCTACATATTCTAAAAGTATTTATGGTGGACCATAATTAAGGTTTATATTCACTTTTTTTTTTTTTTTTACTTTAGAAAACAGGAGATTTATATGCTGTCAAGGTGTTTTAATAACTTGAGCTTCCTTCGTCCTGCGGATGTTCAAACAAGGGAGTTTGAAGTTTTGAAAAAGCTTAACCACAAGAACATTGTGAAACTCTTCGCAATTGAGGAAGAGGTAAATCTGTTATAAATATAAACCAAAAATGCTTTATTTAGTGAACAGAGCAAGGAGCTGCCAGCTGTAGGCAAACGGCAGTACTCCATAACAACCAGTCATAACTAACGTTGCTAAAGTAAGAACAGTTAGGAATGTATTTATAAAAAAGAATTGCTGTGCAAACCGCAAATAACCACACATAAGGATGAAAAAAAAACGGTGTAAATAAAGTCACAATCAAGATGTGAAGAAAAGATAACTAAGTGACTTTCTTCAATAATAAGTACCAGTCCCAATGCAAAAAGTCCCAATAACAATGCAAAAAGTCCAACTCCAGTGGGTGTTCTTGAAAAGCAATCCTAAACGGGCCAACTCCAGGGATCCACCACTAGTATAAATCCAAGCCTCTTACCAGAAGCCCAGGACCTTCATATAGTGAGGTAATGACTGCATTTGCATCATTTTGCAAATCCAGACAAAAAACAATCACATTGCACAGAATAACCAAATATGGATGAAGGTTCGAAAGGCTGGATACAAGCAAAAACTTTAAATTCTCTGATAACCATTATAGTATAAATCCTGTTCAACACCTAAGAACCCAAGGAATGTGGTATCCGAATGCATATGAAAGGAGCCATAACAGTTGCCATTAAATTTGTACCATCAAAATACTGTTCAACCATGTCAAATATTTGCATGCTGTGCCTTCATTTGTCTTTCTCTGTTATTGATTTCATTAATGCTTTTACCTTATGTCTTCCAGATGTCAAGTCGACATAAAGTGCTGGTCATGGAATATTGTCCATGTGCTAGTTTGTATTCTGTTCTTGAAGAACCTACAAATGCATTTGGATTACCTGAGTCAGAGTTTCTTATTGTGTCACGTGATGTTGGTATGTTTTCTGTAATCTCTAAAATGGAAATTCAGTGAAAATAAAAAAAAAGTCAGCAGCTACAAAAACTGTAGCTACTGACTTTTAAAAAACGGACTTTTACCTGTCCCTCGATCCCACGGTGTCTCCCCCGCAGCCTGTTTCACTGGCCGCCCTGTGTTCCAGGCACGGACATCTTCAGTGTAGGCACCCGGCTGTGACAGTTTGTGGCTTCACAGCCAGGGGTCAACAGTGCATGCGCGAATAGCACTGCGCTTTGTGAATGGTTCTGTAGTCTTCTGGGAGCTGTCATGTGTCCCAGAACACTATGGGGAGGAAGGGGGGAGGACAACTTCCGCTTCTGATCACCTAGGAGATTGAAGTGGAAGCGGGTACCTGTAAATTTTGGGTACCCGCTCCCCAAAGGTACCAATCCTTAATGGGGAGCAGGGGATTAGTCCTTAAAGCGAAATTTCCCCTTTTGGGTGGAACTCCGCTTTTACTCAGTATCATTCAGTTTGTGTTTTTAATATTTTTTTTGTATATTTTTTTCTAAATAAAATTAGTTATTGCCAATTTCAGTACAGTGTATCTAGTGGTGCACATCTCCTATTATATGTCTCTGACAAAGCACTCATTTTCAATCACTTCAAAATGTACATTCACATGTATGAGTTTAGAAAGACTTATTAATATTACAGACATTTAATTGGCACCAGCAAAGTATTCACTAATTTTACATACTGTACTGTCATCAGAAGTCCCTGCCCTCAAGGATTTTACGAGCTTAAAGTGGTTAAGGTAGAAGGTTTTTTACCTTAATGCATTCTGTGCATTAACGTAAAAAAAAAAAAAACACCTGTGTCAAGCTCTCCCCCCTTACACTTACCTGAGCCAGAACATGATCCAGCGCACTCTGCTACTTTTATCCTCACTGGACATGGAGGCAACAGTGGGAGCCATTTGCTCCTGCTGCTGTCAATCAGAAAGCAAAAATGTTGCGCTATACCCTTAGAATACCAAAATATACATAACACCCTTAAGTGCAAAAAATGTGTATAGAAGTCCAACATATCCAATCTAATTGTGATCCAGTGATATGTAAGATTCTTCAAAAAATCCATTGTTACTCCACCACCAATATAAAAAAATGACAGCATTTTACCAAATGAACAGAGCTCAAAGCTTCAAAGGGCAGTTCACATACAATGTAAATGCCTTGGGATGATTGGTAACCACACCGCACTTCCGCAGAGATCAAGGGAATTCAGCTGCAGCCAGTACCTCCACTCAGCATGTGTAAGGATTACACCAAAGAAAACTAATAACAAGCTCAATCCTGTAAAAACCGTTTTAACATTTTATTTGCAACAAAGAGAGGTACTCACATGAAGCAGCAGAGTATACGAGCAACAACCCAGCCACTGCTTAGTCCAGCAGCGTAATGACGTCAGCACAGGCTCCATCCCAATATGTTTAATCTTTGCAGACATGCTCTTGGGGTTGGCCAGCCCCTTGAGAATGTCTTCTGGGATGAAACATGTCGTTTTCTGAAAACACAGTAAAAGTCCTTCATGCTACATCTTTGGTGTGCTTAAAGAAAACGCACCAAAAACGTGGAACACAATAGCATATGGGAAAGTGTGGGTTAACATAATAGTTAATACAGTTCTGTGATAACCATGTACTGCGGTTATTTTTAGCATGTCTGTTCCATTTGTCGTATAGTAGCTGCGAGAATTCCATCTATTATTCATGCCTCCAAAGTTTTCCTTTCTAAAGTAAACCTGTCATTAAAGAAATGAGCTGTATTGCTGACCTTTTCTGCTCATTGAGTGGCGGTTCAACTTTAAGCCCTGGTTCACACTGATGCGATTTCTGATTCATTCTAGAACGCATGGAACCGCATGAAAAGTAAAATAACATGAGTTTCTGTGGAAGCCATTCACATATATGCAGTGTGATTCCGATTGTGATTTTAATAACGGTCCTGTGCGAGTTTAGTGCAGTGTTGTAGTTTTGTAGACAAGAATGGAAATCACATATCTGTCCTAAGATAACATGATTCCAGTACGTTTTTAGCACAGGAAAATGTGTGGGTGCCAGTAAGAATTAACAGCAGAGCGATTTTTGGTGCGGGAAAGTGTGCAATTTACATGCAGTCTCGCACCCACATAAGTGTGCCCCAGAAAATGTCTTTTTGATGATGAAACATGTCATTTTAACTTTATGTGAGTATATTTCTTTATACAGTAAATTTTTATAAAAGTTTTTACACTATGGAGAGGCTCTTCTTCTCTTGCCTTACATGGACCATTACATTGTAAATTGGGTTATGTATATTCAACTGGTGATGCCCTTGTGCATTACCGAGGCTGTTTGGAGTGTGACCCAGATACCGGAGTAGATTGTATTTAGCACTGTTGTTGTAAGGGGGTCATGGAAAGCTGGTAAGTGTGTATCCCATTATCACTTTGTGTGATGGTGTTGAGTGGTGGCACTTTATAATACTAGGAAGGAACATATCTTCACTTGATGGCACTTTTTGGATGGGCCTTTTTATATGCTTTTTTTTCTATTCACTTATTCCACATTGTTTCACAATTTATGTATTTTTATGTGTTTATTCTTTATGAATTTTGAACATATGTAATAATAATATATATGCGTAGCGCAACACATCTTATCTTATAAGTGTGAACCAAGCCCGAGTAACCCGGGACAGGTATTCTGCTCAGAAAAGTCGAGATCCTTGTCTGCATGTTCTAAGTCTACACCCAAAGTAAGCAAGTAGATCAATATGACAGCCAGCTATTGGAATTTTTCAAAGAAGATATTGGTAACAGCAGCCTGTTTCTATCATGACAGGTTTACTTTAAATTAGGTGGCAATGTTGCTGTGCTGCATATGAATTTTGTGTGATTCATTGGCATGGCTTCTTTCTTGCATTATTTAGTGCTGCTATGACATAGTCAGGATTTGAATTTTTCTTCTCCTAGTGGCAGGAATGAATCACCTAAGAGAAAATGGAATAATCCACAGAGACATCAAGCCTGGAAACATTATGCGGGTGGTTGGTGAAGATGGGCAGTCTGTGTACAAGCTGACAGACTTTGGTGCAGCTAGGGAATTAGAAGATGATGAGCAGTTTGTTTCTCTCTATGGCACCGAAGAATATCTGGTAATGGATTTTAATTTTTTGGTTGATGAACAGTATGTGATACCCTCTAGTTAAATTTTGTTTACTGATTGGAAGTCTGCAGGCTGTCTTCTCAAGACCACATTTTTAACATGGCCAAAGAGGTCATTTTTCTGATCACCAAAAGCTTTTTCTCATTCCTTTTAATCATATCTACTAGGAACATATATGTGTGTATATTACAGGTAGCCTGATGCTTCTCTTGCCTCTACAGCGGTAACGAGTTGACGCTGACAGCTTAAAATGACTAATATAGCCTATGGTAGCAGTAAGTTTGTCTGCCATAGTGTTGGACAATGGGCATCTATGGCCGTATTTATTCCTTTATACTTGCAGTATATTTCTGATATCTTTATGTTGATCAAATGGAGATTTATATGGTGTTGATTTATCAAAGCATATAATCAATGAGCTTATGTGTAAATCCTAAATTTTGCTTTAAATGTTGTTTCTTTTATCTTTTTTTTTTTTAAAGCATCCAGACATGTATGAGCGTGCTGTGCTTAGAAAAGACCACCAAAAGAAGTATGGTGCCACTGTGGATCTTTGGAGTATTGGGGTGACATTTTACCATGCAGCTTGTGGAGTTCTTCCATTCAGGCCTTATGAGGGACCACGCAGGAACAAGGAAGTTATGTATGTTTTTATTTCAGCTTCTATTTTTTAATTGGAACTCCATCCTGTTAATTCTATGATGCGTTACGTAAAACATAATATAATATATTTTTAAAAGTGACAAGTCTCAGCACCTAAATATGCCTTGGCATCAGGCTTGTGCTTTTGATGAATTCTGAATTAGCAATAATTCATTCAGCGGTGCCTCTAAAAGTAATCTGTTCTGCCAGGTAACAGCTGGATAATTAATTCAGTTAAAGGTTCTTGCAAATATAGAAATTTATAAAATAATTTAACTTAATTAATAATTCCGAGTAATTTAGAGCCAACCGAAATCCTTTTAAAAACACTGATTAGATCAGTGGAAAATATGGACTACGGGTTATGAAATAAATGATTATTTATTTACAATAAGCCACATATGAACACATAATGTAATAGTTCGACTGTGATGCACATAGACATCCAGATAATTTGCAAAAATGTTACAAACTTTTTCTTCAGCAATAGTTGACGTCTATATATAGGATGAATAAAAATCAATAATTTCTCTCCGTAGACAAAATAACCATTAATATCTATTTATCAGACCATAGTCTGATTTGTTTATGGAATTTCAGCAGTTATTCCCCTGCAGAAGGAATAAGCGTCAAAATACGCAAAACCTTATGCCAATATGGCCCAAGAACATAATAAGATTAAATTTTAATATTAAACTGAACTATATAAAGGTGGGTGGTTATTTTATCGTAGGGACAGTGAAATTACCATAAAATTACAAAAACTTATTAATATGGTCAATCAGAATGACCAAAATAGACATTTATAGCTGCCCTCCAATTCTCAGGTTAAGCAAAAGATGGTTGCCGACTGTTGGGTGGAGTTGCGCTCTCACACAGTGGCGTCTGTACAGGCTGGAGTTGTGTGCCAGATGGATAGTCAGATGGAAGGTTGTGTGTCCTGATGTAATGATATGAATGTGATGATGTGAATGTGTTGCCGTGAATGTGTATCCTATCTACCTGACTTTCCTTTTTATCTATTGGCACAATACATTCATAAAAATTTGAAAATACCTACTAGGAGGTAGTTCGGTAGGCGTTATCTAATCTTCATTGGTGGCTTTGTCTCAGACTCCTCCCCATTGCTTGTTTTTAGTATTACCACCATTTTGCCATTAAGTGTCACTCTAAGATAAATCATGATTATTTTTAGTTTTCTTGAAATTGAAGTAACTCATTTGTTATAGGGAAAGATTAATATTTCACTATAACAAACTCGACTTTTGTGACAACGGTATAAATGTCTTGGAGGGTAAATCATGTAAAATCTTAACTAAAAATATTTGCAGATATATACTGATTAAAAGTATTCTTTGTGCACAATTAGGACAGAAAGACACACTATATATGTAGATATACATATATCCCTATCTCCATACAAACTTAATAATTAATCTACCTCACTATTGATTGGTTAGAAATATGACATCATAAATACACTATTTCTGCAATAAGATACATTTCAACACACTAAATATAATAGGAATACACATAACAGCTGTTGATAGTATTAAGTATTCCTTTCTTACAAATTGTGTCTGGATAAACTTTTTATAGGAACCTTGTGGCTTTGTTAATTTTTAAATCATACATTTTTGAATATGTCTGTGATATTTATAATGGTGTGTTCCAGAAAGATTTAGTTATTTGGATATTTTTAAACATGTATAGAGTTCAACGCTTCATATGTCTACCTCCCAGAGCTGTTGTTTTCCAGAAGAGGTGTTCGTTTACTCTTCCCAGACCTAGAACAATGTTAGTTATTAAGTGACCAGATGCCAATCTGCTGAATTCACTACATATAAGATGTCTCCACAGCTTACATTTATGGGGCCTGAAGAGGCTGGTGAAATATAGTTAATTTGCCCCAAGTGCAGTAAAAAGACAGAAACCATTGTGGCCAGGTGTCCTCGCTCTTCTCAGTGTTGTACTTTTCAAATAGATTCTATATGCACAACAGTCAGAGAAACTCTCGTAAACAGGTGTGGAGAGATCCATTTTCCACCAAGATTAGCTCTGTAACATCTTTGTTTGCAGACCCTCAGCAGTTTCAGTTGGAAAAACAGAGATTCTTTGCCGGGAAGGTCAGACTTAAAATGAAGGTCTTATTTTGATTTGTTTCTTATAGTCCAAGGATAAAATGATCAATATGCTTAATATTTTTTTTTTTTTTCATTAAAGTTCTGACAGGCTCCATCAGGCAGTTTTCTGTACAGTAGAATAAGTGTGACAGCACTGGGAGATCATAAGCGTAATGCTTAGGATCCTTTCACATATGGGTGTTTTGAATTGAGAGCAGAATTATCATGCTTCTGCCCACGATTTCAAAATGCTCTGCTAAGATGACAAATACACAAGGCAAATTTCAGGTGCCATTCATTTAAATGGCACCTAAAAACACGGTGTGGTTCTGCCGAGATTGTTGCGTGATTGTGCAGCAAACCACATCACGTGAAGCTTGTATCCCAAAAAGAGCAGGAGCTTCTTTTGGGCAACAAGCTTCTAGCGATGAGGTTCTGCTGCGATTGCAGTGCAATTTATTGCGGCAGAACTGCGCCACATTTTTATGTGCCATTAAAATGAATGGCACCTGAAATTCACTTTGTGCGATTTTGACATTTTGGCAGAGCAATTTGAAATTGCTGGCAGAATTGCAGTGATTCTGACCATGATTCACATGAACATATCTGAACCGGAGCCTTATTGTGCAAGCACAGTCTGTGCACAGGAAGTTGGTCTCACTGTATTGTCAGTACTGGATCAGCACAGTTACAAATCCTTTGAAAGATATAGACACCTATACTCTATACATATTTTAACTGTAGATTTTAGCTTTAAATGTGTAATAAATTCTAAAAGAATTCAATGTAATTCTCATTTTCATACTACTTCAACACCATCAAATGCATAATAAAAGTATATTTTAAACACCTTTTATTTGTAGAAATTTGGTGATTCTGAGCTGCTTATTATTATATAGCTGGATTTAAAAGGTCTCACCAAATTTTTTTTACATTTATACAGGTATAAAATAATTACTGGAAAGCCATCTGGTGCAATATCTGGTGTTCAGAGGGCAGAAAATGGTCCGATAGAATGGAACTGGGATTTGCCACTGAGCTGCAATTTGTCTTCGTAAGTATATTTGATCTGAGAATCCTTTCTAGTTTGGAGTATATGTAGTTACATGTATTCAAGTTCTTTTATAGTGTTTTTAGCATGGCTACAGTCATTTTAAATGTTTTTGTTTGCTTTTATTTTCTGTCACAGGTTTAAGTAAATGGAAGTTGTGTCCTGTATGGCCGTGGTAGGGACATTAGACTGTGTGCTTCTTCAGTGCAGGAACTCTTGTGACTGGTTCTGTAGATTTTGTAAACTGTTACCTAATATGTTGGCACTATTTAAGTAGTGAAAATAAATGATTACTGAGTTACTGTTATTGACTGGTATGGTTGTGGAGTTCTGTTACAAACTGACCGACTGGTACTATCACTGTCTGCCAGAACTAACTGAAAGGCACTGTTGATGATCTTACTAACTGCTGGCCATCACTAAATACTATTGCGTTTTAGCTTCTCCCATCTGTTTTTCAGTACCGTTTTTTTTTTTTTTTTTTATCCCTCTGAATTAAGTTATCTGTGTGCTAAGATGACATTTTTATGATCTGTCCAGTCAATTTGGATGACCGTCTTAACTCAAAGGGTACCACAAGACACCCCTAACTGAGTGAATTGCTGGTACCAGGAGTGCCTACCTGTTTTCTCTTCATTTAGAATTTTCCCAGTTTGTTATAGGAAGTCTTTGAAATATGTACTGTAGAATATATTTTGAGTATACAGTATATCTGCATCTCTTCCTGGTCAATGGCTTAAAGTGGATACCTGTACTGACAGCCTCCATGCTTCTGCCATGACGTGTGCCCTTTAGAATGGACAATAGCAAACAGCTCTTGGGCACATATGCACTTGTAATTATATGCAGGCATTTTTGAACCTGTTGTAACATTCTCTTCTGTCCATTCACTGGCAGGCCGTTTAGCTAAATTATGTGATATGCCAATTTATTTTACATTTCTTATATTTTATACATTCTGTTTGCACCCATTTCTCTTAATTAGGGGCTTGCAAGCTCTCTTCACTCCAGTGCTGGCAAATATTCTAGAAGCTGACCAGGAGAAATGTTGGGGTTTTGAACAGTTCTTTGCAGTCACTAATGATATATTCCATCGAATTGTGATCCATGTATTCTCCCTACAGCAAATGACCCTTCACAAGATATATATACACACATATAATACGTAAGTACAAGCAATGTGTTGTGTTATTAAATGAAATGTACTATCAAGCAAATTATTACAATAAATTATTGCCACATAGGTTATGTTAACACTCATTCTTGGTAATGTTCCCTAACACCCACGTATAGTAAAGTCAAAGATAACAGTTGTATCTCTAGGCAAAATGTTTTTTTTTTTTTTTCTTTTTTGATATAGTGGGGAAGGGTTAAACCCTTTGTCAAGTCCTTGCTGCAGTTTTCCCCAATGAGGGTATTCACTACTCTATTGTAAACATTGTTACCAAAAAAAGAAATTGAGGGAACATTTTAGAGCTTTTCCTAGACAAGTGGGAGGTAGAAACCTTCAAATGAGGACAACCCTCTAGGAGTTAAATTCCCCTCACTTTGGGAAATTTCACTAACATCCTGTTGCATCTCTGGGACAGGAGGCAAGGAGAAGAAAAAACCTGACCCTTCCCTACAGTATCCAAAAAAAAACCAACATGTTTTGACTATATGTATACTTAAAGGAGAAGTACAGCCAAAGTTTGTTTGGTTGTAGTTCTCCTGTGGATCACAGGAGTTCAGTTTGTTTTGCAATCCTGTGACCTATTTTCAGCTGACAATGAGTTAGTCTGTTACTTAGTCTGTCCAGGCTGGGGAAAGATCCCATATGGTCGGGATCCACTCAGGAGCCTGGACCGGTATCTGGCTTAGCCTCTCAGTGAGCCTTGGAGAGCCTGAGCCAGCGACTCCTACCCCCACGGGGGGTGGGGGGGCCAGACCAGAGAGCCTGAGATTGACAGTCCCGGGTCTCTGTTCAAAGCGGCAGGGAGAACTGAGCGGTGTCTGATAACTCAGTTCTCACCCTTGGAACCGGCAGGGGAATGATGCAGTATCAGATCAATGCTGCATTCACCTTTTTAAAAAAAAATCCCAAAGTTCTCTTTTAAAACTTACACATGTGCCTATGAAATTGTGATTTTTTTTTTTTGCAGGAGTGTGGACAGAAATTTGCATTTGCAATATCAACTTAATGCAGTGAAGCTCTATGTTAATGCCACAGCCACAAAATGGAAATGGAAGTTAAACACACTGATTTTCAGCTAGTGATTGCTATCATTTTTCGTGATCTCATATTTAAAATAAAGGAAAGAAAACATGTAAAGTTAAACTCTAGGCATATTAAACACCTAAGTGACTCTTGCTTGAAAAACTAACTGCAAAAAATTGTCTGCAAAAGAACAGTAGGCACAAAGCATCCAAGTGTGTCAGATTCCCGCATCTACCACTGAGTGCTGTGGTTCCATCTGTTGGTCTCTCTGTCACCACACACAGTAAAGACATAGGGGTTGATTGCATGAAGCATAGCTGGGGGACCAAGCATCTGATATATGCCAGTGTGCTTCAGATTTGAAGATTCTGCTTGAGGTTTTAGCTCTTTGTGAGAGTATAGTGGAGACTTGCGGCTTGCTTGAGATGTGTGATGGACCGCCTGGTGCCCCTCCTGGGTGTTACCATCAGAGAACTGTTTCCTCGCCACTGGGACACAGGACCAAGGTATTATAGCTGGGCATTGCACCCAAGAACTAGACGACACTAGCTTAGGTGCAAACTGGAACTCTTTATTGGACAGAAATACAGGTTTTTATACACTTCAGAAATCGGGTAATTTCCCACATGAACAATAAAAACAAACATTACACAATGGGATAAACATCCCCCACTGATTAGGTAACGAGGTCAAGTTGGCACAAGACTAATCCCAACATGTAGCCAACAGACAAACTATAGGTCACTCCACTAACAATGGGACAAAGACACAACAGTAAACACATCACACCTTCAGCATCAGGTTGCTTTAAGCTGATCATATTAACATCTGCTTAGAGTATCTGAATCTAGGAGGGGGGTTGAAGCAGTCAATGCTGGTTTGGGCACCGAGACCCCAAATCTGTATCCTGGTCCTCCCGTTCTCAGAGTCTGTGTATTTTGGGGAGACATGGACATGAATCCAAAGTAAAACTACTCCAAAAGGTCCCCCAGGCACACTCCTCTCAAAGAATAGAGCCCCCTTAAACACCAGGGCCCATAGTCAGTAGGCAAGAGGCTAGCCTGCAGTTCCCTCCAAAAGACCCTGTCCCTGTTGGGTCTGTCACAAGATGTGTAATTACTAAGAGTTCTTTTTTTTTTTTTTTTTTTTTTTTTTTTAAATAACTTTTTTTTTTTTAGTGAAAGAAACACTTCAAAACTATTCTGTATTAAATTCCAGAGTGTGTGTGTGTGTGTGTGTGTGTGTGTGTGTGTGTTGTTAAGTGAGAGTGATAAAAGAAAGTAAAATGAGAAAAACATTAGCACATCAATATGATGCTGCTGTTTTACAGTTTATCCAGCAGGCTGAAGGTTTGTTGTAGAGAAGTCTTTGCTGCTACTGTGGAGGCTGAAGACTAGGCTGTGCTGTCAGGCAGTGGTACATGGACCGCACCACAAGACAAAAGATTGGCTTTACAGGATTACAAAACGTATAGAAAGTAATATAGTTCCCTGTTACCAGTGATGGTTGGGCATAGTAGAATGGACACAAAGTATAATAAATACATAAGTGTGTGTGTGTGTGCTAATTTTGATATTACTTTTTTATCGTACATCACGGGACACAGCCAACCAATCGGAGAGGCATTCCTCCCCTATATAACCCCTCCTACACAGGAAGTTCTTCAGTTTTTTCACCAGTGTCTGTGAGGTGGATGGTCACTGAAATGTTGCATGTGCTCTATGGAGCATATCTGAAGGTCAAGTATGGTTCCATTAGAGTAGGGGTCTCCAAACTTTCCAAGCAAGGAGCCAGTTTACTGACTTTCAGGCTTTAGGAGGGCCGGACTGTGGCCAGTGGGAGTAGAAAATGCCCTGGCATCAGGGCCCCATCATTGGTTTTAATAGGAGGAAGAGGAATTGATATCAGTGAGGTGAATAGTGCCCCATTGATGGTGTCAGTAGGAGGAATGGTGCCCCATAATTGGTGGAATAGTGCTGCAAGGGCCAGATAAAGGCAAGTAATGGGCCACATCTGGCCCCCGGGCTGCAGTTTGGAGACCGCTGCATTAGAGAGAATCGGACATTAATCAGATTCATTCGGAAAACTGTGAGCCAAAATGGATGGTACCTGAGCCTCGCTGGATAAGGAGAAGAATCCTCAGGGTTTTGCCTGTAAACAGCCTTATGGCACTGAACCCTGCATAATGGAAACCCTGTGCAGTATAATACTGACCAAGATGCTTTCCAGTAGGGTGCTGTACAGGTCCAAGGCAGTGGCCCCACATTATGGGGACCGAATCCTTTGAAGGTCTGCATGACAAAGCCCGCCATGATGGGTGAGGGTTGGACTCCTGTTATGATTGAGTCCTGCAGTGGGAATGGTGAGTTTACATTTGCAGTATTTCTATGAAAAATTTGACTGGTCATTCTCCCGGTGGACACTGGGAGCAGTGTGCTGTTGGTCTGGCCAGGCCGTGCTGTGTGTGTCTCTGGAGTATTGGGCTAACATAAATGCACATTAATAAGATTGTGCAAATTATAACATGGGGAGGTTAGAGGTCAAATTAACTTTTTTTTTTTTTTTTTTTAATTGCTGTGTAAACTACAATTTGGTTTTACCTTACAGTACAAATTCCAACATTCTATTCCATTTCTTTAGCATTTATATGCTATACAACATGAACGTTTTACAGCAAAGTGATTTAGCACAAAGAAACATCCTGGAATAGGAGGATCAATGTGTGACTACTGGTAGTGGATGTTTTTAAACCAGCCTGAAAACAGTGTGATAACCCACAGTGCTTACTTGAAAAACAGCAGCTACAATGCTAGCCCAAAGACAATGAAGGATTATGAGTTGGTATTGGTTTTCAGCCCTGATTTTTCTTAGTGTATGTAAAGGTAAAAAAAAAACTATGTAGTACATATCTGCAATACATACACATTTCCCCAAGCTTTATCCTCTTAAAGTGGTATTAAACTCATTTAAAAAAAAAAAAAGTTCCCTGCTCAAATATCATAATGTGCTAGTAAGCATTGCATATTAGCACATTATGAAAGACTTACCTTGGAATGAAGCCCTCCAGAGGCACGCTGTCACCGCTGCAGAGGCTTCCATCTTCATTCGGTCTTCCTTCCAGGTTCGCGGGCTACGGCTGCTTGAATGGCAGAGCCGCTGATGACGTTACTCCCACGCATGCATGCGGAAATCTCTGCCACAGCACATAGCTCTGAAGGAATGGCACATGTATGCCGTTCCTTCAGAGTGCATGCGACCGTAATATCACTGGCTGCTGCTCCATAGAATATTGGTGATACATTTAGAAGATACTCATTTTACCTACAAGTAATTTTTAACATAAGCTTACCTGTAGATAGATAATGAAAAAAGTGACCATACTACCACTTTAAGACATTGCAGTCACTAAAAAATATACATTAATCCACCAACAATGCACACAGCTCATAAGTTCATTGCATTTTTGTGAACTTAGTGGTGTCAACCCTGACCAGTTTTCTTTTGCTAAACTAATGAATTCACCCCTTCTAATGTCTACAACATGAGTGCCAGTTGATCTGTAGTCCAAGATGAGAATCAGAAGGGCTGCTTGAGATAACGCCAGATAAAACAGGACAGCTCTCATTTTCTGATAAAATGTATGTGTGTATTTATTTTATTTGATTTTTTTTTTTCTTTCACTTTTTGCACAGAAACTGTATATCAAAACATTCTCAATGGTATATTTTACAGACTAAAAGGGCAAAAGTATGAGTAGTTTATTGTTATGGTTTACATACATTTTAGGGATAGCAATGTGAAAAGAGTTTGGTTTGATTCCCTCATGAGCAAGTTATAAGCAAGATTCATAAACATGTTTTTCTATCATTCATTGAGGGACAGAGCTTAATAGTAAGCAACCTAGGGTTATACTGCTGCGTACAGGAGAAATAGACACTAAGCACACAAAATTTAAAGGCCAGCTCCTAAGCCCAGTATCTTCAACATGAATGTGTGTGTGTGTGTGTGTGTGTGTGTGTGTGTGTAGTTTTACTGAGAAGAAGCTGCAGCTGGTTGGGCACAGTATCTGGGGGATAGTTCTTCCTCCTCTTTGTTCCATTTTGGGCTGGTGTGTTTTTGTTTGTAATTATATTTACAGAAGGGTTGGCACATTCCACAGCTTTTTACACAGGGACACAGCGTTTTCGACAGCAACGTATTCAGCCCTAGGAATCATTGTGGCCTCTATCTACACTGAATTGGTCACACAACCTTCACCCTGTTTATCCTTCGTGGTCCAGATCTTCTTCATTAAGCTGGTCCATGGTTGTTCCTGAGGGAGAGGGGTAGCCCTTTCCTGTGGTACAGCAGCCTCTGCAAATTGTAAGATGCCAAGCAGAAAGGTGGTCACCTGGCAGCTGTGAGCTAACAGGCTAAGGGCCTCAGTTGCATTGTGCATAATTGAGCTCGGCACAGCAAAAGGATTGTGGTTTTTGTATGCTTCTTGCAAACGCCAGTCGCATCGGTCTACTTGGTGGCCGCTTCCAATTTCCCTCTTCATCTTCGGGTTCTCATTCCACTTCCTACCTCAAAGCAGAAGTGCTTTTCTTTTGTTTGCAAGGATTTATGTCTCATTAGGTGTAAAACCTAGCTCCTCATGATCTCTAGGGTTTAAAACGCCCGCCGCCTCTATCCCCTGCAGACTTGGAAACAGAAATACCTGATATTTTTGATTTCTGTTGAGGATGCCCCAGAAGATTCATTGTTTAATGCTGAATGCCTCCCTTCAAGCATCACTGGCTGATTTCCAGTTGGCAGTAGTTTACCCAAACTGTATACTTTTATAATCAAGTGTGTACGATCCACTTTAAACTGGTTTTCTTCCCTTACAGAGTAAGGTTTTCACAATGATCTGGGGTTGGGCTAGATATCTGGGCCCTCTGTGTTCGGGGTTGTTGGTCTCTGAAATAATTGGCATTTCCAATCAACATCTTGAAGTTATGAGCAATTCTAAGTGGTCCAGACAATGCCACAGCTGTAACTTGCATCAAATATTTAGATGGCACCAGTAGTGTTGTTGCAGCAGAGGTAGTCTATTCTGTGCTAGATGGAGCTTCATGTTCTAGCAGTCTGCAGCTCACAATCCTAGAGTGGAAAACTGGCAGGCAAATTTTTCTAAGCTTGCAACTCCTTGAGACAGGGCAATGGTCTGTGGTGGGGGATGTTGGATGTGGATTTGTTAGCTTCTCCATTCAAGAAAAAGTAGGATAGATTTGTCTCCAGGATGTGGGATCCAATGGCAGATGCAGCAGATGGCCTGGTGGTGGCTCTGTTAGATCAGTACTCCCTGTTTTATGCCTTTTTGTCTGCTGAAGCTTCTACCCGGTCACAATGAAAGATTGAGGTCAAGGGCATTCTGATCGTCCTCCATAGAGCTGTATGCCATCCCCATCCATTTGTTAGATGTTTCATTGCCGCTACTGGATGGGCCATATCTTTTTATTTTAAGGACCAGTTGACTACCCTTCTCGTTCACTTACTGTAATGGTTGGTCTGGCTGTTGAAACTCATTGAGTCACGGGCATTTCAGATTTAATAGTCCCAATTTTGGTACAAGCTTGTATATCTACTTCCTGCAAGGTTTATCATCGAACCTGGAAGACTTTCATTCATTGGTGTGAGTCTGTGTGGGTTTCCTTTCATGTCTAGGCCGTGGGCTTTCTTTCCTTCAGCTGGGGGGGTGAAACAACACTTGGCTTTTACTACCATCGAAGGTCCGATTTTTGCCATGTCTGTTCTTTTTCAAGGCCCTCTTGCTAATTCATTCAGTTATATAAGGGGTTACACACGTTACTCCTCCTGTTAGACTTCCACTCTGACATCTATACATAGCTTTGTCTCTGCTACACAGACCACTATTCCAGTATTGTTTTTGTTTGGCCGCCTTTTGATTTTGGATTTTTTTTGGGCAGCCCTAGGTTGACTGCTACCAAACTGTGTCCCTCAATGTATGATGGAGAAAATAAGATGTTTGTACCATAAAATCCTTTGGAGAACACAGCTCCCTCCCTTTTCATGTTATTGTTTTCTATTTGGACTGCTTGCTACAACTGAGCAGGATTGGTTTTAGTCTCTAGGGCAGGGGTCCTCAAACTACGGCCCGCGGGCCACATGCGGCCCGCTGAGGACACTTATCCGGTCCGCCGGCAGGGGCGTATTTGCTGTGAGGAAGGGACACTAAGTACAGGGACGGGAAGAGGGCTGCTGTATCTTACCTGGCTCCGTGTTCCAGTCCCACGACGATCCAGTCCAGGAAGCGCTGCTCCTTCATTCACTCCGGCCACTCCCTCACTCGATGTTCGCGCTGCCGCTCGGCTCCGCCTCCTCACTGGTGATTGGGCACCAGAACTGTAGCTCAGGAAAGGCACACAGGCGGCCAATCACCTGCGAGGAGGTGGAGCCGAGCGGCCCCGCAAACATCGAGTGAGGGAGAGGCCGGAGTGAAGAACAACAGCTGACAGGTAAGTGTGCCGTGCAGATGGTGCTGCTGCAACCAGGTATGCTGGCTGCAGCAGCACCATGCTGGAACGGGTCAGCAAGTTAAGTGTCATTGGTGTCAGTGGGAGGAATAGTGCCCCATCATTGGTGTCACTGATACTAATGATGGGGCATTATTCCTCCCACTGACACCAACGATTGGACACTATTCCTCCACCCACTGACACCAATGATAGGGCACTATTCCTCCCACTGACACCAATGGTGGGGCACGATTCTTCCTACTGACACCAATGGTGGGGCATGATTCTTCCCACTGACACCACAATTCTTCCCACTGACACCAATGATGGGGCACTCTTCCATTCCCACTGGGGCACTCTTCCTCCCACTGACGCCAATGACGGGGCACTATTTCACTCCATAAGACACACTTGGGGGGGAAATGTCTGTGCGTCTTATGGAGCGGCTGGCCCAGTATTCCCGCCGCTGTTGAATGTCCGCAGTCTCTGGTCATCCCCTGTACCGTGTCCGCAGTCTCTGGTCATCCCCTGTACCGTGTCCGCAGTCTCTGGTCATCCCCTGTACCGTGTCCGCAGTCTCTGGTCATCCCCTGTACCGTGTCCGCAGTCTCTGGTCATCTCCTGTACTGTGTCCGCATTTGTTCATAGTTTTTTTTTTTTTCTTTAAACTATAGTCTGGCCCTCCAGTGAACTGGCCCCCTGTTTCAAAAGTTTGAGGACCCCTGCTCTAGGGCTTTGCCTAGTGTCCATTTCCCTTGTATGCAGCAATATAATCCTAAATTTCTTACTACCATGATGTGTCTCTGAATAGACTCTGGGAAAAGGATTATATGGTGAGTACAAAAATCCTATTATTGTACAATAATATTCCAGTTTTGTCCCCTCATTATTGATTCTGTTAATATTTTACAGGCCTGCAGATTTTCATGACTTAATCTACAAGCAGACAAAAATTCCATCCCAGAACCAGGAGCTGCTGTTTGAAGGAAGGAGGCTAGTTCTAGAGACAAACAGACAGGCACAGCACTTTCCTGGCACCACAGAGGAAAACCCAATTATAGTGGTTACTCGAGAGATGTTGACCATCATTGGGCTACGATATGAGGAAGGTAGATTGGACAGATAATCCTGCTTTGTCGTAGATAGTGGCAAACTAACCACAAGTATTGCAAAGATGTTTTAGTTTAATGTAAACTAATGTAAACTAGGCATGTAAAAGTATTTTAGACCGATGCTTCACTACGGTGCTCCACCATGGAAGGTCAGGTTTGTGGTTCTATTTTACTAGTATTTTTACTACTTTTCCCAGAATCATCCTTAAAATTTTTAAATCTTTTTTTTTTTTTTTTTTTATTTGAAGGTTCCACTTTATGGGGGCGGTGGGATGGATTTAATAAATGCATATAGAGTGTGCACTTTGCAAGTGCAGTTGCACTAATTTTCCTTTGGATATTCTTTACAAAGTGAAGCTTTACCACATTTACAATCAGGTAAAAGGAAACATTTACTACGCTTTGGGGAAAATGAATGTTACTGTGCTTGCAAAGGGCACAGTCTATTTTCCTTTAGTAAATCAACCCCCATGTGTCTATTTCGTAAGTGAATGTAATTGTTGATATTTTTGAAACTGACACGTTGCCTCTTAAGTAGAGGATTTTACTCAAGCTTCCAATTTGAATTCAGTTATAAACTGTAAGTTGTTGCCAAGAGAAAAAATATGTTGGTTTTTTAATGAAACAGTCAAGGTAACACCAGAATAAAATTGATACATAATCTAAATCGGGGGTCAGCAACCAGTAAATCATGATCTACCAGCAGACCTTGGCATGTGACTTGTAGATCACGGTAGTATATGAATAAAATAGATAAAAAGAATGAATAGTTCATATGGTGATATCAAGGTGACTTCAGGTGCTCTCATCTATTCCTATTCTCCAGGTGACAGGATACTGTGCGATATAGTGCAGAAGGAATGCACACTCACCAGAACGCACAGTTTGATGAGCGTTTGTATATATATATATGCTGATCCCTTGAGGTCATCATCTGGTCAAGATGGGGTTTGAAATCCAATGGTCTCCCTCCAATACTACTGAGTGTGCTGTTAGGACATCAGGGTGATCCCTCAGATATTGGCCTGTGTATTCCTCCTTAAGTAATAAGGACCCTCCTTCACCAGCAGTAAACGGATGGCTGTAAAATTAATACTCCCCAAGGGAGTCAAAGCAGAGACATCTCCATAGTGTAGTAGTTAGGGTATTTATTGGTATGAAAACGAAGATGAACATCGATGTATGAATCAAATAAAAAAAAGAGAAATCATGGACTGACCGTCCAATGTTAAAGATGGCCGCCGGAGCTCCACGATGCTCCGGCGGCGTGACGTCCGGCGTTCCTGGCTCCTCCTACGCGTTTCGTGCACACGCACGTCGTCTGGGGGGATTTGCCAATAACGCCGAGCCGTGTGACGCCAAATATATATGCTAGGCGCATGCGCATTAAGAAAGGCGCCATTTTTTAGAAGTCTGACCCTTAGGCGACTGTGCTTCTAACGTTCGTGCGGGCGCCATTTTCCATTGGTCTATTTTATATACTTTGTTGTAATCTGTTTTACTGACCAGCATACGTTATCTCAAAGACATACTGGGAGCCTCTAGCATTCTTAATCCAGATTTATCTCTTAAGAACTACTCAATTTGTAGTTTCTTGATGCTAATAAGAGGAAAAAAAGATCTTAAAGTGATATAGTAAGGTCATATTAAATTAGCCAAATTGAAAAGCCAATTCATTCCAAATCGAATGTAGCACTAGCATATAGACTAGTGGGTATACTCATAAGGATGTATATAGAGGTACATTACGGTATGTTAACATAAGTTATCTGTGTCAAATTATTCCCAATACTTAAAATACTTAAAATATGTTTAATATTATCCATGATTAGTGTCATAAAGTACAATTAAAGATAATAAATATTCATAAACAGCTCATATAGAGTACTAACATGATTTTACAACCCTTGCCATAGCAATAAGAACTCAAATAAAATATATTAAAATATATATTAAAGTGAACGCAGAAATGAACATGAACATGAAAAATAAATAAGAGAACTGCAAAAATAGCACCATCTAATTCCCTGTTTAAATCTCTCAAAGTTACAGCTGGAACATGTAGCCAAAAATTAGCTGTTATTGATGAAACAATTCAAATCTATATCTATGTTGTGGCCTTTTGGATGCAAGGTCTGGAGCTCATGTATCCAGCGTGTTTCGAGTTGTGAGACTGCTCGTAATTTGTTAATCCCCCTCCAATGGGGCTGCACCACATCTACTCAACAAATTGTAAGGAGGATGGGTCATTTTTGTGTTTCCGTTTAAAATGATAGGACAAAGAGTGATCCTTATAGCCCTTTTTGATGTTATTGATATGTTCCCTCAGTCTATCGCGTAATCGCGTATACGTCTAGTAGTACGTCCCACATACTGGAGTTTGCATGAGCATTCGAGGAGATATACCACGTTTTTACTATAACATGTTATACATTTATCTATATTATATGTTCTACCCGTAGTGCATGAGGTGAAAGAATATTGTTTATGTTTTCTTACGTTATTAACTGTGCAAATAATGCACTTGTTACAGGGAAAAAATCCTTTTATATTTGGTGCAAGAGAAATATCTCTGGGGGGTTGATGACATTTGGAGCTAATCGGTGTCTCAGAGCCATAGCCTTTTTATATATGACTTCCGGTTTATCTGGTAAGATCTTGGAAAGGATAGGATCCGTCAGCAGGACATTCCAATTTTTATTGATTAATACGTTTAATTGCTTTATGTTGTGTCGAATATGTAGTTATAAAAGGGACAGATCAATGATTTCTTTTCCATTTTTTTGTTCTCTAATAACGTGCTTCTGTTAGTATTCGCTACTAGTTGAATTGTATCATCAATACTTTGTTGGGAATATCCTTTCTCCAAGAATTTCCTCTTTAAAGTTTCTGCTTGTGTGTAGTATGTCTCAAGTTCAGTGCAGTTCCTGCGAATTCTTAAAAATTGGCCTTTCGGAATATTTGCCAACCATGTAGGATGGTGGCAGCTTTCAAGCGGAATAAAACTATTCCTATCGTTTTTTTTTAAAAAAGGACTTAGTGACGATCATACCATTATCATTTAGTAATGTCAAATCTAAAAAATGTATTTCCGTAGTACTATATGAATAACTTAATTCTATGTTGAGTTTATTGTCGTTTAATGTTTTAAAAAAGTTTTTTAAGGAGTCCTCCTCTCCGTTCCATAATAAAAACACGTCATCTATGAACCTTTTGTAAAATATTAGTTCCGGCCACTCTCTGGCATAGATTAAAAACTCCTCCCAATAAGCCATAAAAAGATTTGCTAGACTGGGGGCAAATTTTGCCCCCATCGCTACGCCTTTGGTCTGCAAAAAATAATTACGGTCAAACCAAAAATAGTTGTAATTTTGCATAGCAAACTGTAACAATGATAAAATATATTCAATATGTGGAGGAGAAAAGTGCTATGGGTGTCCAGGAAATATTTAGTTGCTTCCATCCCATCTACATGTGCGATGTTACTATATAAGGACGTGGACATCCGCTGTAACTAAAAAAAGTTTGTGGTGAATTTCTAATATCTTTTTATTCATTAAGAATATGTTTTGTATCTTTTAGGAAGGAGGGGGTTGATGTAACCAAAGGCTGCAGGAAGTAATCTATATATTCTCCTACTTTTGAGAATAAAGATCCTATTCCACTGATGATAGGTCGTCCTGGTGGTTTGACCGGATTTTTGTGTACCTTTGGAAGTATATAAAACACCGGAAGTTTCGGGGCTGATGGACATAAAAAAAATCTTTTTCTTTCTTATTTATTATGCCATTATCAAATCCTCTTTTTATAATGTGTTTCAAACCTTTTTTAAGGGTTGGTAGGGGATCATTAGGTAAAACGTATGTAGGTGGTGGCATCATTGAGGATATTGTAGGCTTCCTCAAGATAATCAGATTTATTGAGTATAACCACCCCTCCCCCCTTATCGGCTGGTCTAATAAGGGGGTAAAAGGGTCAACAGAAACAGGCAAAAGAACCTAGTACATATAACCAGAATAATATTTCTAACTACTCAACACTCAGGAATGCTTCAACCTATAACCCCCCACCCCAATCCAGGTCCCATGTCAATATTTTTAGGGAATTGGTACTAAAGGATCTGGATGAACTCAAACTTAAAAGAATTCCTAATACAGACACTACGAAAGGGATTGATCTCCTTCTAAAAAGAAAAGACCTGGTCATTAGACCAGCCGATAAGGGGGGAGGGGTGGTTATACTCATTAAATCTGATTATCTTGAGGAAGCCTACAATATCCTCAATGATGCCACCACCTACATACGTTTACCTAATGATCCCCTACCAACCCTTAAAAAAGGTTTGAAAACACATTATAAAAAAGAGGATTTGATAATGGCATAATAAATAAGAAAGAAAAAGATTTTTTATGTCCATCAGCCCCGAAACTTCCGGTGTTTTTTATATACTTCCAAAAGGTACACACAAATCCGGTCAAACCACCAGGACGACCTATCATCAGTGGAATAGGATCTTTATTCTCAAAAGTAGGAGAATATATAGATTACTTCCTGCAGCCTTTGGTTACATCAACCCCCTCCTTCCTAAAAGATACAAAACATATTCTTAATGATATAAAAGATATTAGAATTTCACCACAAACTTTTTTAGTTACAGCGGATGTCACGTCCTTATATAGTAACATCGCACATGTAGATGGGATGGAAGCAACTAAATATTTCCTGGACACCCATAGCACTTTATCTCCTCCACATATTGAATATATTTTATCATTGTTACAGTTTGCTATGCAAAACAACTATTTTTGGTTTGACCGTAATTATTTTTTGCAGACCAAAGGCGTAGCGATGGGGGCAAAATTTGCCCCCAGTCTAGCAAATCTTTTTATGACTTATTGGGAGGAGTTTTTAATCTATGCCAGAGAGTGGCCGGAACTAATATTTTACAAAAGGTTCATAGATGACGTGTTTTTATTATGGAACGGAGAGGAGGACTC